CCTGTTTCCCAAACCTGTATCCTGCTGCAATCCAGTGCAGCTCCTCATCCCAATCCCGCTTCCTCTTCTCCCCGTATGCCCTCAGTCCCCGCTTCAAGGTCTGGACCAGCCGCTCTGTCAGCCCATCGCTCTGTGGGTGGTAGCGGGAGGTGCGCCTGTGAGTGATACCCGTCTCTTCCAGCAGCGTCTTGAACTCCCCCTGGAATTCGGTCCCCTGGTCTGTGAGGACTTCTGCACATGCTCCGAATCGGCAGATCACCTGCTCCTTGAACGCCGTTGCCACCTGCCTGGAGCTCTTGCTGGAGATGGCCCTCACCTCCACCCACTTGCTCACGTGTTCCACCATGAGCACGATGTAGCGCTTACCCCCCCTGCTCAGGGGCAGTTCCCCGGCCAGATCCAAGGACCACCTGAAGCCTAGGCCTCGGATGGGCAGGGACTGCAGCTCGGCTCTAGCCTGGCTGAGGTTTGCCCTGCTCCTCTGACATGCCTCACAGCCCTCCACCCAGCCCTTCACTTGCCTCCGCATCCCCTCCCATCACCATCTTGTCTTCAGCAGCTGCACTGTCCTCTCATGTCCGAAGTGCCCCAGTTTCGTGTGCACCTCTTTGATCACAGCTTCCCTGTCCCTTGGTGCTGGCACCAGCTTCCATCCATCCTCGGTTTGGATCTGCAACTGCTGCTGATGCCATCTATAGTGGTGCCCCCTAGCCCTCACTCTCTCCGTCATTTCCTCATCTTCCTCCGTCTCTCCCTTCACCCACCGCATGGCCTGCTCGTCTTCCCAAATATCTGCCGGCCCCTTGCCCCCTTTGGCCCCCCCCACTTCTACCTGTCTGGCCAGCAGTGTTAAGGTTACGCTCGGTTCCAGCTGTGGGGGGTTGCGGGAGAGGCCATCCACATGCTGTAGTGTCTTCCCCGGCCTGTGCTTAATCTTGAAGTCGTATTCCTGCAACTTCATCGCCCATCGTGCGTTCCTGCCTGTCAGTCCCGGCGTAGTCATCAGCCAGGTCAGTGGCTGGTGATCCGTCACCAACGTGAATTCCCGTCCTTGCAGGTACACCCTGAAATGCCCCACCGCCCATACCGCGGCTAGTCCCTCCCCTATGTACGAGCTGTACTGGGCCTCCGCCGAGTTGCAGCTCCTGCTCGCGTAGGCCACTACCTTCTCCTCCCCTTGCACCTCTTGGCAGAGTATCCCTCCCATTCCCTGGCTGCTCCAGTCGGTGTAGAGGGTGAATGGCTGGTCTGCTATTGGCATCCGTAACACGGTTGCCATCTTCACTGCTGTCATAAGGTCCTGCAGGGCTCCCTTCTGAGCCTCTCCCCATTCCCATGCCCTGTCCTCCCTCAGCAGCCCGTTCAAGGCTGTTGCACGTTTGCTGAAGTTGGGCACGAACCTCCTGTAGTAGCTAAGGAAGCCCAACACCGCCCTCAGCCCCGACTTGTCCTTTGGCTCCCGTAGCCTGTCCAAGACCTCTACCTTAGCCTGCTGGATCCCAATCTGTCCTCCCTTCACCTCGTATCCCAGGTACTGCACTGTCTCCTCACCCCACCTGCACTTCTTGGGGTGACATGTGAGTCCCGCTGCTTCTATTGCCGCCAGTGTCCTCTCCACATCCCGCAGATGCTGCTGCTCGGTGGCACTGAAGATCACTACGTCGTCTATGTAGCACGCCGCACACTCCACCTCCCTCAGTACTGCATCCATAACCCGCTGAAACACTGCCCATGCGTTCCTCAGCCCGAATGGCATGTACAGCCCACTCTAATCTTGATTTGGTTGAACCCCTGCCTCAGGTCTAACGTGGTGAAGAAGACCCCATCCGCCAGCTTGTCAAATATCTCCTCCGCCATGGGCATGGGATACCTGTCTGCTACGGGGATCTTGTTGAGCGCCCGGTAGTCTCCGCACATTCTCCTGCTCAGGACCTTCCCTGTCAGGTCCTTCCTGGCAGCTACGACTGTGGGCGTGGCATACTCCGACTCCGACCGCCTGATTAACCCGGCCTCCAGCACCTCTCTGATTTTCTCCTTGCAGACTTCCTCATCCCCGTGTGGCATCTTCCTCCTCCGGTGGAACACGGGCTCCGTACTGTTCAGCTTCAGCTCCATCTCCTTCACCTTGCACCTCCCCAACTCTTGCATGTTGAAGGCGAAGCACCTCATGTGTTTGGTCAGCAGCCGCACCATGGCCTCCCTCCCTTCCTCACTCATCGCCTCCCCTACCTTCCACGTCTCCTCTTCCTTCTCCTGGCATGCCCACGCCCCCTGAGGGCGCGGCTCTGTGCCCCCTACTCCTTCCTCCTGCCCCCAGCACATCACCGTCTCTCTCCACATCCGCTGGACCAGCCATCTCATCATGTTGCTGTCCATGGCGTTCCCTAGGGCTCTTCTCCTGTCAGCCTCGCTCACCCCAGGAGCCGCCGTTGCATTCTCCCCGTACCCCAAGGCCAGTTCCCGCTCCAGTGTGGTCGGCTCTTCCCACCACTTCTTCCTGTGATCATAGATGAGTCCTGGGCCCGGCTCCCCCGCTCCCCATGTATACCCTGCCGCCCCTGCATATGCAACCAGAGTGGGCAGCGCTCGCCGTTCCTGTCCCACTTGGTTGCGAGGGTAGTGCCTGCTGTATCCCTTCTTGTCCACCGACGCTGGGGTCCGTCCTGGCTCAAGGATATCCTGTACTTTCCTCTCTGGCGCCCTCGTCACCCCCTCTATCTCCTCCTGCAGCTTCGGAGCTGGGACTATGTTCTGCCAGTACATTCTCAGTCGGTGAGCCCGTGATCCCATTCTGGCTGCATCGCTGCTCACCCCCTCTCCCAATTGCTCCCTGATCCTCTCCCGCACCAGCCGTACTGGCTCCCTACTGTCTCCCTCTAAGTCCAGATTCTCCACCAGGTAGGCCACTCTCCCCTGCCTCTCTTGTAGCCACTCCAGGATACGGAAGAGGTCCTCCATCGGCTGTGTCCTCGGGTCCCCCTTTCATCTCCCTTTGCCTGCCCATGATACCCCTTGGCACTCCCACCCAGCCACCAGCAGATCTACCTGCCCCCAGCTGGCCACTTCCGCCTCTGTCAACTGTGCCACGTCGTGGCTGTCCCCCCCCATGGCTTCGCGGATTACTCCTGCACTTAGAAGCTCTGGGAATTCCGCTTGCAGCTTCCACGCGTGATGCTCGGCCATCTTCCTTACCGCGGGTGCCCGTTCCACGTACACCCATTTTTGCACTGCTACCCCACTTCTCACCACTGCTGCTAGCCCCGCCCCAATCTCTCAAAACAGCTCCACCAAGCAGATGGGCTGCTGCCAGTCGCTCTGCAGCCTCGGCTCGTTCATCATCCTCATTCTGGGCACTCCCTTGGTACCCCACACTCCCTCGTTCTCCCCCGCCTCTCCTGTCTCTGCTTCCTGTCCCGCCACAGCCTGGTATGCTCTCCTGGGCTCCACCTTCACGAATCGTACTGGCAGCTCTCCTAGTGGCCCCTCCTTCTTCCAGTACCGCGTGTGGAATGCCACCCTCTCGGTCCACGTGCATATGGTCATGCCCACCGCGAACACCAGTTCTGTGCCCACCAACACGTCAAAGTCCTCAGACTCGGAGATGCCACATCTCATCCAGATCTTGGTCTCATGCTCCCCTCCTGGCAGTAGTGTCATCTCTATGGGTGCCCTTGAGCAGGGCATCCACTTCGGCTCCCCCCCTTCTGCTGTCATCACCAACATCCCCTTTTTCACATGCCTGCCCGGCGCCAAGAGCCCTAACCTCTCAGCCATCCCCTTTCCCAGCATCACACTCTGTGCCCCCGTGTCTATGATGGCAGTCTTTACTTTTTCTCCTTCCACTTCCATCGCCCCTTCCTCCAGCAACAACACTGAGGTCTGACATGCCAGCCTCTCCTGTGGATGGCGTGCTGGCGGCGGAACCACCCCTGGCTCCTCTGGGTTCTGCCCCCTTTCCCGGACCTTCCTGCTCTGCTCCCGCCTGCCATCCTTCCCCCCGCTCCTTAGCCCCATCTCCTCTCTTCCCCTCCATGCCATAAGTGCACATTGTACGTCTTGCTCTACCTCCTCTCCCTCCTCGTCTCTGGCGTACATCCCTGCCTCCGCCCCCCACCTTGGTCCTGTTGCCTGTAATTGTGCCAGCAACCTGCTGATCTGCCGCTGCAAATCCTCAGGACTCCTCCTGGCTCCTCCTTCCCTCTGATAGCAGTCCTTGGCCTCGTGCCCCCTCCTCTTGCACACCTCACACTTAGCGGCATCCGGACATTCTCGCTTGCGGTGGCCCGGCTTCCCGCACCCATCACAGTTCTTGCAATCCCTGCGGAGATGCCCTGGCTGCCCGCAGCGGTGGCAGTTCCTGGTCTCTGCCCGTGTCTCTCCTCGCTCCTCTGCCTTCCCTCTATCCTCTGGTATCATGGCTGCCGCCCAGGTCGGCCGCCGGGCTCTCTCCATCTGCCGCGGTAGATACGCCTCATATTTCCTTTGTGCGAGCTCCACCCTTTCGGCCAGCTCGAACACCTCATCCAGGCTCGCCTCCGCGCCCAGCTCATACACCTTCATACGCAGCCCGCCTCCCAGTGCCTCGTCCAGGCCACCTAGGAACTTGCTTATCAAGAGACTGCTGTCCGTGCATCTCACATCTTCGGCCACATTGGTCAGCCGATTGTAATACGCCAGCAGTGACTCGGTCCTTCCTCGCTTGAATTCCTGAAACTCCCTTATGCGCTCCGCCGTGTGCCCTGAGAACTGCCGTTGCAACCGCTCAAAAAATGCTTCAGTGGGGTCCTCTCCATACCTCCCCGCCCTCCACAGCAGCTCCTCCATCCTCATACGGTACAGAGTCTCCGCTTCTCCATCTAAGGTGTTGGGCAGGCTTAGGAAGAAATCAATGGGGTCCATGCCGTTCCGGTCGCACCGATACTTCACATTCCCCACCTGCATCAGGTAGTTCTTGAGTGATGGCCCCGCCCTCTGATCTCCCGAGAATCTGGCCGGCACCTCTACCCTTGTCGCCGTGGCCCCACCTCCTCTTCCCTCTCCCCAAGACTCACTTGCCCCTCCCCGCGGTCTCCCATACCCCCCTCCTTGCCCTGCTCGTTCCAGTCCCTCTCTGCCATACGGGCTCGCTCAGCCCCCTGGGCCAAGCTGCCACTCCTGGCCCTGCTCTCCTGCTTCCCTCCGCGCACCTCTCCCGACTGTCCCCACTGACTACCTCCCCTTCCCGTCTGCTCCCATCGTCGTTCCGGCGAGTAATGACTCTGCTCCCACACCCTCGGGCCGGCTTCACGCGGCTGATGTCTCGCTGGGGGTGGCGACCACTCCCTTCTCTCCTGCAGCCGTGTGCCTGGCAGCGCGCGTTCTGCTTCCTCCCGCCCTTCCTCCCGCCAACGGCGCCGGTCGGGCGACCGCGATTCTCCTCTGGTCCCCCCCCCCCCACTGTTGCCGCCTGTGCGGTGAACGTGACCCCTCCATCCGCCGCCCCTCCCTACGCCGCCGCGTTTCTGGCGAGTGATGCTCCCCCCCATGGCCTCCTCCCGGCGCCCGCGGTGGCGCCCCAGAGCAAACCGTGCTCTCCTCCGCTCCACCCCGTCTTCCTTCCGCGCCCCCATACCGTTCGGCCCTCGGCGGCGGTTCCCTTGACGAGCGCGAGCCGCCGTCGCTCGCCTCCGCCCGCCGACGCTGGACTCCCGTTGCGTGTCTGTCCTCTGCCTCGCTTCATCCGCGCATTCCCCGCGTCGGGATCGTGCGTGTCCCTCCCTCTCGAGCCTGGCCTTCCGGCTGCGGTGCATCGCGGGCAGGCTGTCCTTCCCGACGGTTGGGGCCCGTCGCACGCGACTCCCCCTCCTGCGCCTCTCCTTCCTCCTCCGTCGTTGTCTCCGTGGTGCCGGCGTGTGTCGCACCGGGCGCGCGCTCTCCTTCCTTGACTCCGCCTGGTACGTGGGGTCCCGCGCGTGCCTGCTCGCCGCTGTCCCACCGCGGGTCGTGGTGCTCCTGTTCCCCGACGTGCGCCCGCTCGCCGCCGGCCTCCTGCCCTTCATCGCGCTCTTGCTCCCCGCCATGCTCATGCTCGCCGTCGCTATCCTGCTCGTCGCCGTATTCCGGCTCGTCACTGCGCTCCGGCTCCTCGCCGTGCGCCTGCTCGTCGCGGTGCCACTGCCCGTCGTCGTACGCCGGCCCGTCGCCAAGCTCCCGCTCAGCCTCCTCGTGGTCACGCTCCTCCCGCGTCAGTTCGGCCCGCGGATCCTGTCCGGCCCAGTGCACACCAGAGCCCACTCCTTGCTCCCGCGGGAATACCTCCCTCCAACGCCAGCGACCTCGCTCATCCCGCCGCCGACCCCCCCTTTCTGGGGAGTGGAACACCCCTTCGTCGCGCGGGTGGCGATGCTCGTCACCGCGAAGGTGGAACGTGTTCCTCCGCCACGGCACATCGCTCGTCATCGCGCCGGTTCGGCCACCGCCACGCCCGCCTTGCACCACATCTCTTTCTCGGCTGGCTGGCACGACGGGAACTCTATCAGCTCGAAAGGCCGGCCTTCGGGGCAACCGCTCTAAGGAACGCCCACGCTCCCGCGAGCGTTCGGGCCGCGGCCCTTCCTCTTCGCGTCGAGTGAAGACCCGGCCCCATCGTAACTCATACTTGTCCATGCTACGCGCCTACGCTTGTTTCCTGGTATGAACGGGATCACTCCCTCACCCCACTGGTTCCCTCTTGGTGGCGTACCACTGTGTGCTAAGCTTAGAGCAATATCTTCCACTATTCTGAGAGAATACCAGGAAACAAGCAACGAGTGCTCTGTGAGTACTCGGCCTTACCCTGCCCAACCCTGTGCTGCACATTCCTCAATGCGCAGCTCGGGGTTGGGACATTTCGCCCTTCGTCCCACATTTCGCACTTCGAGGCTTTCCCCCCCGAGACTTCCCCACCGTTCACATTCCGTCCCCCCCCTTCTAAGCCTATTCCAGCAGTAACCTCGCTACACTCTACTCTACTCATTAATCTACTTGAAATGCAATTGTAAGGTTATCATCTACTACTATTCCTTCACCCCTTGTATTCCTGTTATTGCTTATGCATCACGTGCATAAGCGGTGACACCATTGGACAAACAGGCGAGTTGGTCCAACCGGTCCATTGGACCAAGAGGCCAGTTGGTCCAACCAGTCGATTGGACCAACAGGCAACTTGGTCCAACCGGTCCGTTCGGCCAACTGGGAAGTTGGTCCAACCGGTTCATTGGACCAGCAGGCCAGTTGGCCCAACCGGTCAGTCCATTCGGCCAAAAGGCCAGTTCGTCCAACCGGTCCATAGGACCAATAGGCCAGTTGGTCCAACCAGTCCATAGGACCAACAAGCGAGTTGGTCCAACCAGTCCATAGGACCAACAGGCCAGTTGGTCCAACCGATCCATAGGACCAACACGATAGTTGGTCCAACCAGTCCATAGGACCAACAGGCCAGTTGGTCCAACCGGTCCATTCGGCCAACAGGCCAGTTGGTCCAACGTGTCCATGGGACAAAAAAGGCCAGTTGGTCCAACCGGTCCCTTGGACCAAAAAGGCCAGTTGGTCCAACCGGTTCATAGGACCAATAAGCCAGTTGGTCCAACCGGTCCATAGGACCAACAGGCCAGTTGGTCCAACCGGTCCACTCAGCCAACAGGCCAGTTGGTCCAACCGGTCCATAGGACCAACAGGCCAGTTGGTCCAACCGGTCCATAGGACCAACAGGCCAGATGGTCCAACCGGTCCACAGGACCAACAGGCCAGTTGGTCCAACCGGTCCAAAGGACCAACAGGCAAGTTGGTTCAACCGGTCCATTCGGCCAACAGGCCAGTTGGTCCAACGGGTCCATAGGATCAACAGGTCAGTTGGTCCAACCGGTCTATTGGACCAACAGGTCAGTTGGTCCAACCGGTCCACAAGACCAACAGGCCAGTTGGTCCAACCGGTCCATAGGACCAACAGGCCAGTTGGTCCAACCGGTCCATAGGACAAACAGGCCTGATGGTCCAACCGGTCCATAGGACCAACAGGCCAGTTGGTCCAACCGGTCCATAGGACCAACAGGCCAGTTGGTTCAACCGGTCCATTCGGCCAACATGCTAGTTGGTCCAACCGGTCCATTCGGCCAACAGGCCAGTTGGTCCAACGGGTCCATAGGATCAACATGTCAGTTGGTCCAATCGGTCTATTGGACCAACAGGTCAGTTAGTCCAACAGGTCCACAAGACCAACAGGCTAGTTGGTCCAACTGGTCCATTGGACCAACAGGCCAGTTGGTCCAACCGGTCAATAGGACCAACATGCCAGTTGGTTCAACCGGTCCATTCGACCAACAGGCAAGTTGTTCCAACCGGTCCATAGGACCAACAGGCCAGTTGGTCCAACCGGGCCATAGGACCAACAGGCCAGTTGGTCCAACCAGTCCATAGGACCAACAGGCCAGTTGGTCCAACCGGTCCATTCAGCCAACAGGTCCGTTGGTCAAACCGGTCCATAGGACCAACAGCCAGTTGGTCCAACCGGTCCATAGGACCAACAGGCGAGTTGGTCTATCCGGTCCATAGGATCAACGAGCCAGTTGGTCCAACCGGTCCATTGGACCAACAGGCCAGTTGGTCCAACCAGTCAATAGGTCCAACATGCCTGTTGGTCCAACCGGTCCATTCGGCCAACAGGCAAGTTGTTCCAACCGGTCCATAGGACCAACAGGCCAGCTGGTCCAACCGGTCTATTCGGCCAACAGACCAGTTGGTCCAACTGGGCCATAGGACCAACAGGCCAGTTGGTCCAACCAGTCCATAGGACCAACATGCCAGTTGGTCCAACCGGTCCATTCAGCCAACAGGCCAGTTGGTCCAACCGGTCCATAGGACCAACAGGCCAGTTGGTCCAACCGGTCCATAGGACCAACAGGCGAGTTGGTCCAACCGATCCATAGGACCAACAAGCCAGATGGTCCAACCGGTCCATAGGACCAACAGGCCAGTTGGTCCAACCGGTCCATTCGGCCAACAGGCCAGTTGGTCCAACTGGTCCACCGGACCAACACGCCAGTTGGTCCCATCGGTCCATAGGACCAACACGCCAGTTGGTCCAACCGGTCCATAGGACCAACAAACCAGTTGGTCCAACCGTTCCACTGGACCAACAAGCCAGTTGGACCAACCGGTCCATACGACCAACAAACCAGTTGGTCCAACAGGTCCATAGGACCAACAAGCTAGTTGGTCCAACCGGGTCATTGGACAAACAGGCCAGTTCGTCCAACCGGTCCCTTGGACAAAAAGGCCAGTTGGTCCAACCGGTTTGTTGAGTGATGCTACCATTCGCATTCACGTCTGTCTGCCTCCCATCATATGTTCGTGCGTTGCATGCGTGTTGTGAGTGTGTGCAAGAATTTGTGTTTTGTGCGGTTTGGTTTTTCTGAGTGTGTGTGTGAATGTTATTTGGCTTGAGCAGATATCTGAAGTGACTCCTCTGCTCAAGAGCTTTCCGAGGAACCAAGTATCGCTTCAATCGGAGCACGAACTAGAAAGTTACGAACGTTGGAGTTCGTATGCTTTTGATATTTGGTTGTGGTGACTATGGGAAGTTGTGGGGTTGACTCAATATGGGGTACAGACTTTTGGGGGTTGGGAAATTCGTCTTTTCTACTGTAGTTGCTGCCAAATGGTTGGGAGAAACCAAACCAGGTTGGCAAGTGTGGCCAAGTTGGGTTGAGGTGGATTGTGGAGGTTGGGATAGTGACAAAGGTCAAAGTTGGGTTGCCTATGGGGAAGGGAATTGTATGGCATGGGGTTTCCTTGGTTGGGGACTCTCTTGGGACCTTCCCTCTCGTCCTCCTCATCCCCTCCTACCTGGCTCTATTGCTACTCTAACTTTCTTGTGTGAACTTGTGAGATCATTGTGATTGAGTTACGTTTTCTATGGCAGCATACCCCCTAGTGCGCCGAAGTTCATAACTCGAGTTATACTCCATATTCTGATACTATTCAAATTGGGAAAAATAGCCACGGTCAAGGGCTACAACATACTCGAGTTTGAAAGAATTCTAACAGTGGACCTTTCGTCGACGACGTTTCTTGTGACGACGACTTTTCTGTCCAGAATTGTAGTTGACGATTTTGAGATATTTCAGCCCCTAATCTTCATAGACTCCGTCCTTAATCTCTAACAAGTGGTATCAGAGCTGATTAAGGACCTTTTGGGGAGTCTACTGAAGTGTGAAGACCCTCGTAGACCCACCATGGCCTGTGGGCGTGCCTAAGTGGAGTTCTGGAGGTTGGATGTGACTTTCGCTAAGGGGAAACTCTGCCGAAATTTCGTTGGCGCTGACACTTGTGAAGATTGTGTGGATCTACATAGTGACCAGCAAAAGGGGGAGCTGAAACCTCTGATTGGGAGCAGAGGAGATGAATCAAGGGAGTGGAGATGCAGCTGAGAAGAGGAGTGAGCCGCCACCATCCAAGATTGAAGCTTTGGATGGCTCCAACTATGAGGAATGGAGCGGGCGGATGCGGAGCGCCTTCAAGCGCTACAAGCTGCTGAAAATTGCAATGGGAGAGGAGAAGATGCCGGGGGAAGGAGATGCCCGCGATCGGTGGATTGAGAAGAGCGCGGTGCTGTACGACCTCATCCTCCAATCGGTCAACAACGACATGTTCCAGCACATCAAGGATTTGGTGGAGTTGGATGATTCCGGACCGAAGGCATGGATGCTGCTACGCGACGTGATTCAGCCCAACACGCTGCCGATGGTGATTGTGTTGGAGAAGGAGTTGGCTGCCCTCTCCATGAAACCGGGAGATGATGTGAAACCGGTCCTTGACAAGATCAAGGACACCTATGCGAGGATGGCAGCGGCGGGCAGCGAAGTGTCGCAGATGCAACAGTGCACCAAGATCATCTCGGTGCTCGACAACTCGTGGGACAACCTCATCCCCACCCTCAACGTTCAGCAGGACAAATGGACGCCTGAGTGGCTACGGCAGCAGATTCTGCAGGAGGACTTCCGCAGACGCCACACGGGAGGTGGTGCTGCCAACAAAACTGCTGAGGGGTATGGAGCTGCAGGATGCAGCAGAGGAAGAGGGGGAGGGAGAGGCCGAGGCCGTGGGAGAGGCTTTGGCAGAGGGAGAGGCCGAGGTGACTACAATGAGGGGCATGGGAGCTCTGGTGGCAGGGGGAGCACCCGAATGGAGGGTGCGTGCTGGTACTGCAAGAAGGCTGGACACCCGTGGTTCAAGTGTTTCAGCCGGCCTGAGGGATGGGCCCCTCCAGGCATGAAGCCGCCAAGTGGTGAACGTGCACGCGGTGGCGCTGTGCAAGGTTCAGGTGCACAAGGTGATGGTGCACAAGGTAAAGCCGACCCTGGGATGTTCCTCATGGTTGAGGATGTGCAAGGGAGTGGGGGTGATGTGGGTTCAGTTGGGAAGGTTGTGATGCACCCCCTCACTCACTGGGTGATCGATTCAGGTTGCACGAGTCATATGACCCCACGGGCAGATTTGCTTGATGAGGTAAAACCTCCTGGGAAGATCAAGTTTGTGGCTGCCGCTTCAGGTGCTTTGCTCCCTGTGATTGGTGTTGGGAACGCCAAGGTGATGGGAGCCAATGGAGAGCTTGTGGGGCTTGGGAATGTGCTGTTGGTTGAAGGTTTGTCCGCTAACCTTCTTTCTGTGCGCCGACTGCAGAAGAGCAAGGCTGAAGTTACCTTCGGCCCAACCAGCTGCCGTGCAAAGCTTGGGAAGTTGCTGCTGTGGAACTTGGAGGAGAAGAGCAGCTGCATCAAGGACCTGTGGCAGCTGCCCATCATCCCTTGGAAGGGGAAACCACCAGCAACGGCAAAGGCAGCGGCAGCGGCTAAAGCAACTTCGGGAGGAGAGGAGACTGCACCAACTGCTAGGGCCCTGGATGCAGTCAAGAAGGTGCAGCAGCCACAACAGCCACATGGTGAGGTGCTTGCTAGTGTGGATGCGACAGCTGCATGGGCAAAGGCTTCATCTGGGAGTGGTGAGGCTGATTGGGAGACGTGGCATGAGAGGCTGTGCCATGTGAACATTCCTATGCTGCAGAAGTTGGTAAAGGATGGGTGCTTGAAGGGGCTGGAGGTGAAGGGGGCAGCAAAGGAGATTGGGAGCTGCCCTACATGCCTTGAAACGAAGTTCACGAAGTTTCCCTTCAGCAGCAGCACGGGACCAGCCAAGGCACCGCTCGCGCTTGTGCACATGGATGTGGTGGGCCCCACGAGGGCCCTTTCTCTCTCGGGCAGCCGCTACTTCTTGACCATTGTGGACGACCACACGCGTGCGGTGTGGGTCTACCCTCTGAAGACTAAGGGGGAGGTGGCAGCGGCTGTTCTCAAGGAGTGGATGCCGAGAGCTCAAAGGGAGAGCGGACATAAGGTGAAGGTGATCCGCACTGACAACGGGGGAGAATTCATTGGCGCTGATTTTGAGGCGGTGCTGAAGAAGAAGGGGATCCAGCATCAGCTCACGGTGCCCTACAACCCTCAGCAGAACGGTGTGGCTGAGCGGTTCAACCGGACCCTGCAGGAAGGTGCTCGCACTCTCCTTGGGCGTGCAGGGCTGCCGGATCCGTTTTGGGTGACTGCACTGCGGCAGGTCGCCCTTGTGAAGAACAGGGTGCTGGCGACTGTGGGGGACAAGCAGTGGGTCCCCTACACCAAGTGGTATGGGATTGCACCAGCTGTGAACATGCTGAGAGCCTTTGGGTGCATGGTGGTGTTTCATGTGCCTAAGGAGAAGAGGGGAAAACTGGAAGCTTCTGGGAGATGGGGAGTACACTTGGGGCTTGCTAAGGATCATAAGGGCTGGTTGATATGGGACTTGACCAGCCAGCAGCTGACTGTGTCAAGGGATGTGAAGTTCCTTGAGTCCTTGTACTACAAGGAGTGGAAGCAGCAGCAGCAGAAGCTTCCTACTACACCGCTGATCATTGAGGCCGATGAGGTGCAGCGGCCTTCGAGGCAAGTGCAGGTCACTGTCTTAGAGGAGGAGATTTCTGGGGTGACTGAGGATGGGGGAGAACCTGAGGTGGAGGAGCAGCAGCAGCAGCAGCAGCAGCAGCAAGATGCTCCACAAGGTGCCGCACGTCCGGTT